TACTACACAAGCAAAGAAACACATTTTATTTGGTTGATTCCAAAATATGTAGACATCTATTTTTCCACATCCAAAAGTACAGATTTAAAAGAACTGCTAACATCAATTTGTTAAGCTCTCTGACTTTTTCAAATACTGTTGATGAAGTCATTTAGAAAATGAGCAAAAAATAATGGAGAGCAGTGGCCTTTCAGAGTCTCCACTCATATTGATGTTAAAACACATACACATAAAGCAATCTCAAGTCTCTTACATTTTAATCCAACCCACATCACTCACTTATAGCCAGTTTAATATTTTGATAACAATGAATTTTGGCTAATGAATGTGATAAGTCCATATGGAATACACAGATGGTTTATTATAAAAATAGCAATTAATTCTGCCTAAGTTAGAGAAAACTTTAAGAAAAATAAATGACATTTATCTAAGCATGAAAGGCTACTAAAAGTTTGTCACATGTTCTTTTCCTATTCCACTGTTAAGCTTCAGACATTCACTTTCACAGTGAGTGCATAATTTACTACTGCTACTTATCAATTGGTCTGTATCTCTCGATTACAGTGGTTTTTCTCAAGAGTACAACTTTCACATTTTTTTCTTCATACTTCAGTGCTCAAAGGTGTTCAACAAAAAACCTTTTGTGTTCCTTCACGAAAGCTTTCTTTATATACTCAGCCAGACTCTGAATCCATCCTCAAAGTCACTGATAAAAATATAAAATGGCCAACATTCCATTCTTCCTAAAAGAGAACTACAAGACAAGACGAGTTGGAATACTGGTCCATCCCTAAATCTCCTAATTTTATCCTTAGAGGGCATTATGTCAGGATCTATATGAGTGCACACGTGTGTGATAGTTTCTACACAAGATGGATTTGATATTTAAATTAAGAAATAGGAACAGAAAAGTATTAAGTCTGATAATTTGCTATGAAAACCTCACACACTAACAAAAAACAAAACTAAGATATTTACAGAAAAAGAGCCAATATACTCTCATAACTTTACCTACTTATAAAAGAATACTGTGCTCAGAAGACCCAGTCTTGAATCTAGACTCTACTACTAATGAACTGTGTAACTTCAGGAAACTCACTACGTTTCTGAAGTTCCTTTCTCTCTGTGATATAGAGCTGACTCAGGGTTGTTTGGAGCATCAGCTGAGGGAAATAAGAGGACCCAGAAGTGTCACAGTAGCTTCTTGATACACACAGGCAGTTAAGAAACTACCTTCTCTGAACAGCCAATATCCTGAAACTTATCTCAAGAGAGAAGACTCCAAGCAGGGAAGGAGGAGATCCTTTCCGAATGAAATCACATCCCCTGTGTCTTCCTATTGCTAAGGCATGATTATGGGCTGGCCACAGAGCTAACTGGACTTAATGAAGACACGTGTAAGGAAGAAATACCTTACCATTCATTTTCCTTCTCCCCATTATGCCAAATTTTCCCACATCCAATTAACTATGGCAAAAGAAATCTTACAATGGATGAACTGAACTGATGAAATGAACGGTCCTCTGGGCTGGGGGCCTGAAGGAAGATGGCTGTATGTATTTGCTCACATGCACTGGACACAACTCCTCGACCAGGCAGAAGAGAATGCTTTCCCAGAGAAAATGGTGTCCTCCATTTGTCACCTCCAGAACGAAGGCTGCTTTCACACATTCTCTGTTGTATAAAAGGCTTTTATTATGTGCTTTTCTCCTTTGTCACAGAGCCTCCCCCTTTGGGGGAAAAACGTGCAGTAATAAGCAAGCTAGTCTTTTAGCAGAAGGTAAACAGAGTGCTGTGAACTTAAGACCACTCTGCTTTGTTTTACCCAACCACGCAGCATTCTATACTGCTTTCATTTCTTTTCCTCCCATTTGTGTGAAGAGTTATTTTTGAAGAATTAGGACAGAAGCAGGTCAATAGCGCCTACAGATGTTACAAACATATCAGGCTATACTTACATAGAGAAGCATGTAAACAGTTAATGGAGCGAGGTAATGTGTAACCCTTCCTTTACCAAATGTGTTTTACTTATAATCCCATGTGCGTAACAGATCACATAAAACCTCACTGCAAAACATGGCTCCAGAACTAACCATCATGGCCACCAGCATATATGTCTACAGCATCTCCTATATTCAGGGCACTGCTAGCGCTACAAGTAAACAAGGATTTAAAGAAGAGAAGCAAACAAGCAAACAAAAAAATCAGTCTTTGTCTTCTGTTATTGGCTATTATCTATACCCTTTTCCTTTACCATAGGACAGGTTGGTTTCCCCTCCTCGTATCTTCTAAGTCAAACAGTTCTTGTGAATTAACTCCTTCAGTTTGCTTTGCTCTTCTCCTGGTGGCCCATGAGCAGTTATTAAAGAGACTCCACCAACTGCCCCCTTCTCAGCCTCTTTCTCTTCCTAGAGGTGGAAGATGGTTGGATATCTTAGGAAAGAGGATCAAGCCATCTGGTCTAAGTATCATCCAGAAAATTTGCTTTAAAATTATGAAGCATTGAGATGAAGATGAAAGCAACACCCTCCACCTATTTATAGCTTCCAGACACCTGTGATTTAATGTAGTTACAGTGATAGAATAAGAAATCTTGCCAAACTAGTTTCTATGACCTTTTTACCACCTTATTATATAAGGTGTGATTAAAAAATATGGTAATGTTTAAATTTTAAAATGACACATTGTCATTTATTTCCCTCAAAATATTCCACCTTGCTTCAAACACATTCCAACATTCTTGCTGCTTTCTCTTCTTACTAAACCAAATCTGCTTTTTTTATAATTATTTTTTATTAGTACATTTTTGTAGTACACTATTACATCTACAGTGGGGTGTTTGGATATGTCGTAACCCATATTAATTCTTTTTTGTCCCTTTCTCCCGCATCCTGCTCCCTCCAATTCTTGTTTCACGTCCTATTGGAAAAAGCTCTATTTCCATTTTCCTGTTTGATTCTCTTTTTAATTCCTTTTCCCTTCCTTTACTCTCCCTCCATCTCCTGTTCCCACTTTCCTACTGAAAAAGATCTTTCTACTTGCTATTATCTATCCTTCATTTTGCTTTTTATACTCTAAATCTCTCATGTAAGAGAAACAATGTGACATCTAAACTTGTCAGATTTACTTCATCTAATACTAATAATCATGAGATGCATCTATTTACCTACAACTGCCTCAAGTTTATCTCTCTCTATGATTATTGTTAGTTTCTAAAGCACTTTTGGAAGTCTTTTTTCCTGAATGTCTTTAGTTGTGCTGTCTTGGTTGCCTTGATGACTTGAATGGATTTCAGATACCTTTCACAGCCATTTTGACTATGGAGAAGAGCTATAAGTTGCATGGTGCCAAATCTGGTGATTAAGGTGGAAGAGAAAAACCATAATGCTTTTATAAGCCTGTTTCTTCAGAGGGCACTCAACACCAGCACTCACTGTATTTTACACAAAAAGACTTCTAGAACTGCTTCAGAAAGTGCCAAGAATGTTGGCCTAAGTTTGCACAAAGCAAGAGAGAATATTAATGGCAATGTGTCTTCTACTATAATAAATTTTTAAAATGTGGACACTTACCATATTTTTTGACCAACCCTTGTCTGCAGTAGCCACCTGTTATCATAGCTATTTTTAGCAGCCCCTATTAACTACTCCCTGAATTGTAGGATAAAAGGACAGAAAATAAGATTTCACAGATCCCCAGGATTAATTTACAAAAAACCAAAGAAGCTTTAAAATTTGGTGAAAAAAATTTATCTAAATAATTTTAATTAAATAAATTTTAACATTTTATAATCTGCTTTGAATTAGAGAGCTCACCATTAATATCACCAGCCATAATATAGCTGTATAGGTGGCAAATTACTATGAGTGAAGAAGTTAAACAGACTTTTTTTTTTTCTTTTTTCCTTTTTATCGGTACCGGGGATTGAACTCACGACTGCCTGATTGCAAGGCAGGCGCTTATGCCACTGAGCTAAATCCCCAGCCCCTTAAACAGACTTCTTAAGAGGCCAATAAATAATACCAAATATGGCACATATTTTACAAACAATTAACTTACTTCCAGGCTTTATTATAGCCCTTACTCTAAAATTTTAAAAATAATGTATCACAATTTATAGCAAGGATAACCATCTCCTTATTTAATAATCACTAAGGTCCTGCTTTATGAATTTTTCACTAGGAAAATAACGTTCTAAAACATTTAGTCTATCAAACAATAATTTTTAAAGTCAGTTTTTGTTTATATATGAAACAAAAGTGGACAGTTCACTACTTCTCACCTATTTTTCATTTTCTACTCATTTTCTATATTTTTCTATCTTGTATTTGCCCTCTCACTAAATTTACACAGGAAGTAATATACATAATTTATGTACTAAAGCAAGCATTAACAAACCTTAAGACATTTTTAGAGAGAAGGAGGATAGTTTGTGAAGGTAAACAGAATTCAGTTATTTAAAATTTTAAAACTAAAACTGTCAAAGCTCCTGAGAAAATTCACAGGCTTCCCCTTCTTCACCTTGGGTGGTTTTTCCAACATCCAGTATATTATTTCCAAAGACAGATGAAGCAAATCTGTAAAAGGTTCATAGAGATTTCTGTGCTCACTACCCACAGCTAGCTCCAAAGAGATTTCTGTCCAGGGTCCACCATGTTTGGTCCCAAAGGTTTTGCCTGCATCCCCAGACACCGACATCTGACTGTTAGGGGAAAAGTACAATACTGGAAGACTTGCATGGCTTGGCCTAGTGCCTTGCCGAACATTTAGCTGTGTAGTTAATCTCCCAGAGCTGTGCCTACTGTCACATGCTGCTATTCTCTGCCATCTGGAGCCTGGAATTGATATTAGCTTGAACCATACAAGCAAGAGAAAAGAAGAAGAAGAAGGAAAAAAAAAATCTTCATTCACATTTAACTGAAATCGGTCACTGAATGATGTACTGTGCCGCCTAGGCTTTCACGCATGTAAGAAAAGGGAAAAGAGGGTAAAGTACAAACCTTCTCCTTTGTTTTCTGGTTCTCTGCTCTAAGGTCTTCATATTCGCCTATAGCTAAAAGAAGAAAGAAAAGCAGTATTATAACTCTATTGGAAGTTTACTCCAGAAAGACCTAAGAACCCAACTTATGCCACTGACTGTTTACTAGGTTGGGGGAGGGTGGAGAAGGAGCCATAAAAGGATTCTGCGATTAAAAGCAGGGGAGAAAAATAGATCACAGCAGACAGAGACCCATCAAACTGAACTTCAGATTGCTCTACATCACCAGGAAGACTCAGGAGCCAAAGGAAATGACCTGTGATGAGCCATTCCTCCTCTCTGATGTTCAGCACGTTTTCTGTGGTCCTGTGAAAGGATTCAGGAGTGTGGTCCCTGAAGCTCCTCCCAACACAGTCTATGGTGCTACAAACAAAAGTTTATCTAGAAAGCATCTCTAGAAAATAAAGTAACAAGTTGCACATGTGACTCAATGTCACATGTATACTTTGTACAGAACAAAAGTTTAGGCTATGAGCATTCAAGCGTTTATTTCTGGACAAGATTGCAGTCACCAAACCATAGCCAGAAACCTGCTAGATTCAACTAAATTGGAACTGTATATAAACTGACATACTTTCAACTACATGATGGAAAACAGTTTTCTACTTAAAAATCTTCATTTGCTAAAAATTGAAATAACCTGAAACCCTACATTTATATTTTAGCAAAAGCACCATTTTAAGTTGAGAATACCAAGTTTAGAATAAAAACCTAAGATCAAACATGGAACAGAATCTCAGTAAGCCTAGAACTGCTGCTCAACTCATCCCTAGGCCATACCAGCACCAGAGAAACAGTAAATCAACAGATCGGCCTTTTATCTTATTAAAAATTTAACTGGGATTTATCTATCAAAAAAAAAGAAAACAAACAAACAAACAAACCCTGTTTTCGTTGCAAGTTCGAGACCAGCCTGGTCTATAAAGTGAGTGCAGGGCCAGTCTAGCTACATAGGGAGACTCTGTGTCAAAAAGACAAAAAAAAATCCCAAAAACCCTGTTTTTCAAATAAAAGAAGTGACAAAGTTGACTATATCAATAATCTGCAAATGAAAAAAAAAATGTGAAACAAGCAACTTCAAGAATATCTCAGAAAAATCCAACTATTAATTCTAGAAATTTATGATGCTAACCACTAAGGCAGAGAACGTCCCATAAATAAATAGTTAACATGGTGAAGTATGTGCTTTGTTTCCTCCAGGAGTAATCCAAAGATTTCAGAATACCTGCAGTGACGGTAGCACCAAAATCTTTAAAACTTCAATTCAAATTAGCAAATATTTATAGGATTATACCACCAATGCCCGAAACCATCCCCATGGATATAAAATAAAAATTAATAAACTTTTATTGAAGCCCTATCCCTAAGACCTTACAACATCAATGGCTCATAAAATAGTTTTGAATGTATACACATAAAATAGTTTTGAATGCAAAGATACACCTCCTTTGAAAAACAACTTTCAACAAAACATATTGTGTTACTCTTCAGATCAATCCCAACCAAATATTGAATATAACTGAGTATAAAACAAATTGCCCTTCATCTAAAAAAAAAAAAATCAATGATATGTGCCCCCTTCTTAACAAACAGCAATAGTTTATGGTCATGGTCCAGAATCATTATCATACCATTTCAAAAAATAAATATCTATCTTATTGAGAGATTTTGGCTTAGATCACTTGACATTTAAAAGTATCCACAGAAGTTAAAAATTCAAAATTAATTCAATAGTCTATTATTTGTGATCTACTTTAGCAACACAATAAATAATCTCACATTAACATTAAGAAAATTTTTTCCTACTTAAAACATCAGTTAATGGCTTCAAAAGCTTTTAAAAAAAATACTCATACTGGGGCTGGGGATTTAGCTCAGCGGCACAAGTGCCTGCCTTGCAAGCAGGCAGTCGTGAGTTCGATCCCTGGTACCGATAAAAAGGAAAAAGACAAAAAAAATAAAAAAATAAAAAAAAAAAATACTCATACTATTCTTCCATTATATTGTCAATAGAACCCAGATGGGCCATTGTAAACTCCCAATTACTGGATCTTAATTAAAAGCATTAATTAAATACCCTTCATCTATCAATTTTTAGTGGAAAGTATAGAAAATATGCACATTTGTGGCTATGTGCAATTTTAAAAAAATAAAATAAAGCCAGGTACAAGGAAGAGGAAGGGGAAGTACGGGAAGAATTTAAATGCTTGGTAACGGGATAACTGAGGGAGGAGCCATAGAAGGAAAGAAAATCATTTATTCCTTTGAAGTTAAAAAAAAAAACCTAAGCTCCTTGCCCTTAAGAGTACTTATACACTTCCAGAAATATATATGCATAGATATCACAGTGAATATATATATGTAACCCTATCCTCAGCAAAACTGACAAAAATTGAAGTGGTCTTTTTATCATTCAAATACTTTTGGGATGGCAATGTCAAAGGATGGCAGAAAAAACCTTTTTATGGTTTCAGAATTGGTCACAGTTTGAAAAGTTTTTAAAGTAAGCCTGTAACACTCATGTGATTCAGTGCAAGACCCTCTAAACTCTACATTAACTAGTGTATAAGAAAAGCTGTGTGAGAAACAAGATACATCATGTATAAGTACAAATTTCCTATGATGGATGTTAACATTATGTATATCTAAAATGGACTGATAAAATTTTTTAAATACAAAAACAAAAAAATATTCAAATAAATAAAAAGAGAAGTGACCAATCCTCTGTCATAGGAAAGTCACAGCTTGAGAAGTCTTCCTCTCTCAGGTTCACTGATATAGTGTGTGCCCCTATGTAGCAAGGTCACACAGGTCAGTAATTACAATGTGAAACTGACTCCCATTCTGAGCTCTTCTTGGCCAGAGAAGCTGCAGCAAGTCATGTAATCCAAGTCTCAGGTTCCTCATCTGGAAAAATATCTCTCACGGTACTGTTATTAGGAGTAAATAAGTTAACACACATCTGTGTATAGGTACCTGAAGTATCCCCTACACACCAGCCATGTTTATTACTACCGCAGTATTACATCAAGTCTTCAGTATGTGACAAAAGAGATCAGGGTGCTTTGAGCTTCAGGCTGACTTTTGTCTCACATGGCCCAAAAGATGGCCAACTGGGAAAATCTCTAAAATCCAGTATTCTACTATCCCCCACCAAATCAAATATGTGGAAAGGGACTACAGACCACATGCAAACACTTCATGTCCTAAAGAAACGCTGCAGAGGTATGGGAGCACATCTGGGAACTACACTTATCAATCCTGACTGCACACTGGAATCATGGGAGAGCTGGCTCTCCATCTCAAGATTCTAGGGTGGAACTTAGGCATCTTTTTTTTTTCCAGAAATGAATGCTGAGGTCAGTGAATAGCCAAAAGTGGGAACCATCACATAACAGTGATGAAAAAAGAAAATGGTAGAGAATATCAGGCAGAACACATGTTTTAAGAACCATGCTACTTTTCCATCTTCTAACTCAGTCATGCCCAGAAAAAGTTTTCTTTGCAAGCTACACACAAGACACAACCAGTCCAGGAAGCAGCTGAGTAGACTTAGTTGTTTCAGAAATGTGACAACTAAGGTTCATAACTACAATCCAGTAACAACTCTGGTGAGGGTTAACAATCATCAAGACTTGCCTGCTACTATCTGTTGGCATATGGAATGTCTTCATTCCTGCAAATGTCAGCCCTAGGAAGGCCAATCACCCTACCTCTAGCATCCCCAGATCAGCACTTCCAACCAACAGTTGCTAGAATTGCACAATCCTTTATACAGCCATTAGTCAGCAGTAGCTATTTAAGTGTTAATCATTTAATTTAAATAAAATGTAAAATTCAGTTCTCCAGGTGCATAGTCACCTGTGGCTAGCAGACGCCATACTGGACACTGGACACAGAACCTTGCCACACAGCAGAAAATTGTACTGGCCAATACTATTCTGAACATCTCTGTCCAGATACCAAATGAGCACTTCAAACATAACACATTAGAAAGTTAGCACAACTCCCTTTTACTCAAGCTTCCTGATTTCTGCTTTTTGCACATAGGATTCCCTCTACTGCTGTCAGCAACTGCCAGCGCCGAAGCTGGTACCCACAGGGTGAATATTGCGTCCATTCTCTTCTATCTCCAAAGGGTTATCATATTCCTCCCATCTCTATAGAATGTTTCTCCAATCTGCCTCCTCTGCAGCCATATCTTTGCCTAATTCAGACGCTCAATATTGACAGAACTCTATCTAATGCTAGCTTCTCTCTCTCCAAGTTCATTCTCTACACAGCAGGTAGCCTACTGACAAAGCAACCTATTTATTTCATTTTCTTGCTTAAAAATTGCCAAAGACCTCAGCTTCACAACTTGGCACCCAACTCTACTGCCCACATGCAGCCTTGGAGGCTACAATTCATTCCATCACAGTCAAAACTCCAGTGCTTCCCTGAGCTTTCTGCATAGGTGCCTTTGCAAATGTTTTCTCTGCCTGTAAGGTCTTCCCCCTCTTCCTCCTTTGCAATGCAGTTCAACTCTCAATTCTCCAAAGAAGCCCTGTTCATATATCTTGGGCTAAACCAGCACTTATATTTCAACATAGCACCTAAGTACCATCTTCACATAAAAGTAAAGCATCGCAATCACAAAATATGAAATCTGAAACTTTTCGAGTGCCTAAGTTTTAGATTTGGGAGCATTTCCAGTGTGGTGATTCCTCAAAAAACTAGGACTAGAGTAGAGATACCATTCGACCCTGCTCTTCCCCTTCTGGGTATCTTCCCAAAAGAATTAAAAATATCATACCACAGCAATCTCTGTGTACCCATGTTTATAGCAGCACAATTTGTAATAGCTAGTTCTTGGAAACAACCTAAATGCCCAATGACTGAGGAATGGATGCAAAAGATATATTTTTATACAGCAGAGTACTACTCAGCCATAAAGGATAAACTAGAGAGTTTTATAGATAAATGGATGCAACTTGAGACCATGCTCATTAGTGAAATAAGTAAGACACACATAT